GGGTATAACTTAAGGTCTAGAAAGAGGAAGATTTGAAATATGTATTGAGGGTTTTGGGGGGGATGATTGACGTACGATGATTAATCATTGATAAAGAAAACCCCTCAATATATTTCATATAAGTTTGCCAAAAGACTGTTTAATAATTAATATATAAACAGTCATATGTTTTTCAATTGTTTTGTTAAAAAAAAAAAAAAAAAAAAAAAAAAAAAAAAAAAAAAACAGTAAATAGTTTAGTGTGTTGTTGTGTGGAATGAAATAAAGAAGATGGTTTTTGTTCACATTTATTTTTGTCATTTCTGATATTTTATATTAACTGATCGTCCGTGATATCGAGTTGATCGAATCACGCATATTGAGGATATCACCTGTGCTTCCTATATCTAATTGTACATGGATTTGACATTGATTGTTAACTAACTTATCCCTAAACCTAAATGCTACTACCTTAGCGACTACTTAAGTTAAGAAGTATGAAAATAAGACAAGGAGGGATAGGAAAGAATAGAAAGAGAGTTTGTCTCTAGACAAATGACTGTGCACTAGCCACCACAGAAGGTGCCATCACTGAGCCCTTTCCAACGGGGTAAAAATAACAAAATATAAAATAAAATGTAACCACCCGTGGAAAGTTTAAGCACTCTAATATTCAATCAAAAAAATTCTTTACTGAACTCAGTGAGGGTGTCAAGAGACAAAAAGGGAGGAGTGAAAGATTTGGCCAATAACGCACGGAGAAGGACGTGTAGGGCAGCCCATCCTAGTGAAGGATACCCTGAGACTCACACTCCCCCGGACGTTGGCGGGGACAGCGACAGACAGAGAAGACTTTTAACCTAATATCACTTCAGCGTAGCTTTCCGGCCTGGGTAAAATGGGTTGTTCTTTAGAGTTGCGGTTGAAAAAATCATTTTAAATGAGACACGTGTGCGTTCCTAACATATTTTCCAGTTGAGGGATTGATGAAACGTGCTGTGACGGGAGAATGGGGTTTCGATTGAGAGAGAGATGGCAGAGGGCCAATATGGTCAATGAATATTTTCTTCCAAGGTTGAATTACTATTTAAGAAGAGAGTTTCCCTACCTTTCTGTTTGGAGCCTGCTTGCACCTTTGGCATTTGACACTTAAGCTCGAACCTTATCAGCGATGAAGGCTTAGAGGTCTGGTGCCCAGAAAAAAGGTTTGATGCGGGCAAGGGTCTTGCTGATGCCCAAATGGGCTGAAGTGGGAGACTCGAGTTAGTAGGCAAACAAAAGTTCGAAGAGTTTCCGGGGAACGGCTACTCTGGCCTTGGTTTGATTAGGGAGACGGTAAAGAAGGGTATGGTTTTCTACGGAGTAATTTGGGGGCTTGTTGGTTGACCTAATAATTTTCCTGAGGTCGGGATCATCGATTTGTTGTCTAGCGATGTCCTTGAAAACCTCAGGCAGGAAAAAAAGAGATAAAACAATGGGAGGAGTTGTTTCTGTTGGCTCTGTGTTCACGAAAAGTCGGGAGAGACAATCAGCCCCTTCCCCGAATGTGATAAATCTTGAATTTAAAGGAGTTGATGAAGGAGATCCAGCGTGCAATTTTGCCAATTTGACGGGGGTAGTTTAGAAGCCAAGTGAGGGCTGAGCAGTCCGAGTGAAGCTCAAACTCTCTGTGTTCCAGATACTGATGATACTTTTGTAAGGCGAAAACTATTGCAAAGCATTCAAGTTGAAGTGTGGAGTAGTTGAGTTCATGTTTATTAAGAGCCCGGGATGCATATGAAACTGGGAACAGCTGATCACCATGGGGTTGGAGGAGGACAGCTCCGATTGAGGAACCGGAGGCATCGGTGTGCACGACGAATTGTTTATTGAAGTCGGGCATACGGAGAATGGTGGAGGAGACCAAATCCATCTTTACGGATTTGAACGCTATGAACTGGTCAGGGCCGAAGATGAAGGGTGATTTTTCTTTAGGTGATTCAATGGTATAGTTATTGTGGCATAATCCTTTATAAAGCGGGCATAAAATGCTGTCACTCCAAATAAGCGGGACAACTGTTTGATGTTCTTGGGGGGTAGGAAATTCATTCATGGGACGTGACCTATCAGGATGGATTGAAATGGTGTCATTTGAAAAAAAAACATGACCAAGAAACTGAACTCTGTTTGACGCGACCGTAATCTTTTCGGGATTGACAGTGAGCCCTGAATCACGGAGGCGTTGAATTAGTGATTTGACCTTTACAATGTGATCCTCAAAGGTTGTGATGCTATAAACGCACAGGTCGTAAAAAAAATTGTAAATGTACTTGAATTTTATGTCACAAAAAATTTTGTCAATCAAAGAGGTGAGAACCATACTACCTGATGCAAGTCCAAAAGAGAGGAAATTGAACTCATATTGAGCCCAAGGGACAACAAACGACGTGTATTGTTTTGACTCTTCAGCTAGGGGAATTCGGTTGTACGCAGAGTTTAAGTAGAGGAGCGTGAACCAACGAGCTTGACCTAAATGCTGAAAGGCGCTTTCTATCGTGGGCATTGGCGTGGCGTCAAGTTCCAAAATGGAATTGAGATTTCTGTAGTCGACGACCATGCGTGTTTTCCCGCCCTTTTTGGGGACTAAAAAGGCTGTGGAGGCATACTGTGACGTAGAGGGTCTTATTACCCCCTTCTGTAGCAGTTCGTCGATGTGTTGCCGCATAAGCTGAAGCTTGGGAGGAGCGTACTGATACGGCTTGTTTCGGACAATCTTTGTTTCCTTGATGCGAATACAGGGCTTGTAACAGTATTTTAGGTTAAAACAAATAAAAAAATAACCAAAAAATAACCTCGAATAAGCCCTAAATAACGCTAAAATGCCAAAAACCGGCGATTTATTGGAATAGTAAAAATATGTAGGCAATAAAAATTACGCAGGTTGGTTTTTAACGAGGTAAGTGATCATCGACTAAGGTACGGTAATAATGATAAAAAAGTTTTGTTTTATGTTAGCCTACTAATCCTACCCGTCTTCATTGGGGACATTTTATGAGTTATAAAAGTTTTACGAGCTTCATCAAAATAGATCAACAAAAACCCAATTGTCCTAAAAAAATAAAATAAATAAACCAAAATTAAAAAAAAATAAAAATTACCTACCAAATTTATAAAAAAATAACAAAAAATAACCAAGAGAAAAAAAATTTAAAAAAAATAAAAAAATAACCTGTTACAAGCCCTGCGAATATGATATTTCAGAATGTTCGTTCGGCCTAACTTGCTGGTGATGGTTTCAGGGAACTGAGAAAGCAACTGAGTGACTGACTTGTGCAGTTGTGGATTTAAATTCTCTCCCATACTGACTGGGTCGTATTTCTGCTCGGTGCCTGGGATACAACTGAGTGACAATGCTGTTAGAGCTTGAGGGGATCCATATGGAAAACTTAGGGAGTGTGTGAAGTGAACATGTTGATTAGTGCCCTGGTCTTTGTTAAAAAATCAGACCCAATTAAAACGGGAACTGGTAAATTATCAGTGACGAAAAAAGGATACGTCTAAGAAAGGTGTTTTATATTCATGTGAATCTTTGCTGCAAATTTGAAATGTGTGATTGCGATAAAAGTAGTTAAGTTACTTTTCGATTGCACGATCTTGGCAGACGTGTCAACATAAACTTTTTTTATCGATTCTCGATACCGATACCAATGCCCAAGTAAGTATCAGTGGTATCAAGGATCGATGCATCCCTATCTTCAACCCTCAGGAGCCAGAAGAAGTAATGGTGGCACTCCTAGTTTAATCTCTGACTCGTGTTCATTGTAGGCCCATAAGGTTTCGCTTCTTGGTATGTAAATTCAATGCTAGTGGTTATTATTTGAATTACATCACCAAATTGTAGGACTGTAGCAGTTAGGCATAAGAACTTAAAGTAAATCGTTCATCGTAAGGTGGGACCCATACACTTAGGGCCTATTCCTAAGTTACCAACATAGCTTACTTGATTTGTTGTGATTCCCAAATATAACAATAACCACAAAGTACAAAATCCTCGTCCTTTAGGTACCTATCTGTCATCTACGGGGACTTGTCTGGCATACATTTTTGCACGTTTCGGGTGTGCTTAAGGATTCATAATAGGCCTAGCCAACTCAAATTTTAATTTAATGTAGGCCTATCCAGAGGCAATACTTACTAACTTAACTTACCTTAGGCCTATAACTAAAGTTTTAAAGGGGGGGGGGGGCGGAACGTTGTTCGCTTACACTAAAAAAATGCCTAGAACAGGCCCAGTTAAAACAGCAAATATGGCTTAGGCCTAGTAGACATCAGTACTTACATTACCACATCAATACGATGTACAGCCATCGGTGTTTGTGGTGTAAGTTAGTGGATAGATTATTTGGATGATGTACAAGAGGTAGACTAGGCCTATCTAGATGAAATCCCATCAGTGACACTAACTTTTTGTCAACGATTATGCTTAGAGTGCCATTTCTTCTTAACTGTGCATCTTTTGTTAAAACTTGAGTCATTTATAATTTTATTTTAAGTACCGTAGGCCTACCGGATTTAACCTTCGTTCGATTTTGTCATTATCAGCAACTTTGGTTAGTTAGGTTAGGTTATGACAGTAACTGCCGGACGCCTAATCCACGCCCGGTTTTTAGACGCGTATCCTCTGCCTAACTTAACCTATTAGGCCTAGGCAGCAAATAGAGGGAAAAGACAAATTCCAACCTAATATGGATTAATTGTACTTATTCATCCCAGATTTTATTAATCTACCCTACAGCTGTCACATTTGTTATTAAGTTACAAATGTATCAACTAGGCTATGTCCAAGTTAGGCTTTCAGTTTAGGTCGACAATGGACCATTGATCTAACTTACACCTTCTTCAAAGTAGGTGTCATATTCATATTGAATTAGCTTTTTCATAGTGTAAGGCCTAACTATTTATTAAAAACAAACCTTGCAGTTAAAGTGACACCGTATGAGGTATATTTTATTGAGCTAGAAATGCGCCTAATTCATACTTACAGAAATGTTCAGAGATCCGTGGGGTGTAATAAATACCGAAATAACCACTTCACAGTTCACAAATCCCGGGGAAATTATGCGACTGCACAGAAAAGTGTATCGTGGTAGATGCTGGGTAAATTAACCGAATTATTACAGTTTTAACATTAACTGGATAAAATTAATACCCACATTAATATACTTGCAATTAGTTAGGTCTATAAATAACACATTCACAAAGCAGTAATACAATAATTTTACAAGTTGTCTTGTC